GCAGAAGAGAGGGCTTCCAGAAATGTGGAAGAAGCCTTGGGAGAAAAATAGATTCTAGTTAATGAAAGGAGGTGGAAGATATGTAAGAAGAGGAGGCTGAAGATGAAGGTAAATCGGTTTCCAGTGGAACACGCTGGAAAGGATGGGCGGGGGAGACTAGGGCCTGGTGGGCGGTAGGGAAGGGATGGCTAGGGTGAAGGTTTCCATCTCAGGATTGGTAGAAGTGAGGAGAGTGGAAAGTTGGGAGGTGAGCAGGAGCGGGAGGACTAGTCTTGGAGGAGCTCTGGTTTGTGGTTCCGTCTAGAATGTTGGTGTGGTCCAGGGAGAGGTGTCTGAGCGTAAGGAAGAGCTTTGCAGTGATTCTAGTCAGCCAGTGGGATAGGCTCCCCCGGGAGGCACTGGCCATTGTCTGTTAGGGATGGATGGTGCACGTGGGGTGTTTGTACTATCTTGAAGGTTGACCTAAATAACTTCCTTCTTAGGTTAAATCTGATGGTTCTACTCAGTGACTGTTTATACACGTATACAAAGAGTAAAATGTATGTGGATATACGTAGTATGCATGTGCTCATTTGCAAATAGGAGTGCTCATCTGAAAACTGGTAGAGGAGTGCTGTCTGTGTGCAACAAAGACAATCTTAATTTTAGGCCTTGAAAAGAAGCTATTTAAAAATACTTCTATTGACTGGTCAACAGGAAAGCGTGATTTTAAAATGAATTTTAATTGGTGAATTGTCCTGGAGGCGCTCCACATATTCCAAAGAGAACTCATTATCTTTCCCCGAAACTCACCCCTTCTCCAAACTTACTTATTTTTCTTCAGGGCACTGCCATCCTTTTAAGCAGCCAGATTTCATTCTTGGAGTCTTATTCTTCCTTGTTCCTCAAATCCAGCGAGTGACCAGCGGGTGAGCCCTTCTCTCTGCTTAGACGGCCGCCTTCCTGGTTTCCGCCACCATCGTCTCTGGCTGGCTTCCTGATCAGACTGCCGGCTGCCAGTCTCTGCCCTCTTTTCTTTGCTCCCTTTTTCGTTGAGCTGCCAAGATAATCTTCTGAGCACTCTTGACTGGCACTTCCTTACTCAGGATCTTTCTGAAGCTCCCTATTGCCCTAGGACAAATCCTTAATTCTGCCCAGGCATCTGAAGTGTCTCCCAGTGGGGCTCCAGGGCCCTCTTCCTTGACTCTCCCTCATGCTCTGTTCATGCCACGCCAGCCCACCTGCAGTTCTGCACATTCAGCCTTCTGTCCTTCAAGTGCCCAGAGGCTTGAGGGCCACTTCCTCCCAAGCCTCTTTGAGCCTCCGTTTTCTCATTTGTAAAATGGGACCATACCTATGATACCAACTTCACCATGAATGTAAAACTTTTTGCAAATGAAGCTGAATTTAAATGTCAGTTCTCAGGCTTAGGGACAAACCTGAGAGGTGACAGATGCTGTGAAGACGACCGATAGCAGCTCCACAGAGAATTCTGGGCTCCCTTCAGCTTTCGTAGGGCCGTCTTTGAAGCCTTCCATGAGATGAGGCAATGTAGGGAGGCATGTTCCCATTTTTCCTTTGATTTGTTGTTGTTCAGTCATGTCTGACTCTCTGTGACCCCATTTGGGGTTTTCTTGGCCAAGATGCTACAGGGATTTGCCATTTCCTTCTCCAACTCACTTGACAGATGAAGAAACTGAGGCCAGTAAAGTTAAGTGACTTGCGTAGAGTCACACAGCAAGTAAGTGTCTCAGGCTAGATTTGAACTTGGGCCCTCCTGACTCCAGGTGTTACGCTCTATCCACTGCCCCACCTAGCTCTATTGCATACTTTAAAAAAAAAGTGACACTTGTTTTTACCATGTAAAATAAATGTATCTTCCCTTTTTCCCTTCCCCAGCAAGTAATCCCTTGCATCAAAGAATAAAAAAAAAGAAGAAAGCAAAACTAAGCAGTGTAGTCTTACAGTGTATGCAGTGGTCCACACCAGCAATCCCTCACCTCTGCAGAGCATGGGGGAGGGGCATTTTCTTATCTCTCCTTGGATGCCAAGCTTGGACGTTATTATTATTCAGGTTCTGTTTTGTTGTATCTATAGGAGTTGTTGTATAAAAGACCTGAGCCAGGGGTGGGGACCCTGTGGCCATCTAGGTCCTCAGGTGCTGCCCTTTGATTGAATCCCAGCTTCACAGAACAAACACCCTTAATAAGAGGGATTCTGTCAAAGGGCTGCTCTCATTTTTGGTCTTTGACGTCTTTGGAGTACGTGTCTAGCTGTTTGATTCCTGGGTCAAAATTGTCTCCATTTTCAAATGAGGAGACTTCTTGTGTGTGAGGTGACTTGTTAGGACGTGAAGCCCAGGCTCTGAGGCTTGTACTCTCTCCACTGAGCCCTGTTGACTCTTAGTTAGGTTCCTGTTTATGTTTTTCTCTCAATTTGAATGATCTGTTTGAAGTTATTTCCCGTGGTCCTTGGAGACATCAATTCAGTATTTGTTGTTGGTGTTGGGTGCCTCATGAGGACAAATGACAAGAGAGCTCACGGTGGAAAGATGCTGAGTTTGAAGTCAGAGGACCTGCCTCTGCTTCCTGCTGTCTGAGGTAGGCAGCGTTTTTTATGCTAAACAAGGCTGTGATGTCGTGGGAACTGAGTTGAGTATCAAAAAGAGGTGTTTTTTGTGTTCTAGAGGGTTTGCCATCTGCAGCCACAATCCATTGGGTTAAGTGCATATTGGTCCAAATTTAGGCTGGACCCTTGAAAGAGGAAGAAAAATCTTGGCTTCATGATTCAGTTAAACATTTATTAAATACCTGCTGTATGCCAGGTTCTGTGTTACTCGGTGTTGAAGAAACTGAGGCTGATAGAAGCATCCTGTCATTGATGATGAATGTTAAACGGCCCAGGGTCCAGACTAGAGCCTTGAGTGACCCTTCTAGAGACCGTCGAGCCATTAGTGGTTTTTCTTTGGGTGCAGCCGTTCGGCCAGGGTCAAATCCACCTAAGTGTGATATCGTCGACCCTGCCCGTTGGCAGCGTCTGCCTGAGGGGGCTTCCATTCACTTGCATCTCCCATTTGGGGCAGTGGACATTCTTCATCCGCTCGGTGAATGTTGGTGAATTGGAGAGTCCGTCGAAAATCTTGAGTGACGATAGAACTTATTGAGGAGGCAGCGGAGAATACAAGATCCACTGGGCTTTACTGGTGGTTGTCTAAAAATTCATTTGATTTGGTGGCTCACAATTCTGCCTGAAACTAAATTATGTTTCAATAATGTCTATGCTGAAATAACTCCTAACTTCTTAAAAGATGTTAGAGAGCTTTAGCTTCTCTCCATCCAGCCCCATCCATGAGATTCTGGCAGACCATTTTGGGGGATGTGAGTCATCTGGTTTGACGTAGCTTGGCAGGGAGTTTTCCTGCTAAGTATTAGATTCCTGTCCCAGGTAGGTAGCAGACATTTCTGTGGTTCTTATTAGGTTGACAGCAGCATCTGCAGCCTTCAGTAGGAAGTCTCCAGTCATCACTGCCGTGTGATATACTTAAGTCACAGGTCTGAGTGTGTCCCTCCAGAACTTCCTATGGCTCCCGCTTGTCTCCAGAGTAAAATGCTGACTCCCCAGTTTGGCCTTTCAAGTCCTTCACAGTCCTTGGCCCCAGCCTCCCTTTTCAGACTCATTTCGCTGGACTCTTCTCACCCACTCTGAACTCCATCCACATGGGCCTCCTGGCCAGTACTGACCCTGTGTGCTCCCTTTCATCTCTGCCTCTGTACCTGGGCATAGGCTGGCCCAAAACTGGCACGTTCTCTCTCTTGAAGCCCCTAATTCCTTCGAAGCTCAGTCAAGTACCATCTCCTTTAAGAGGGCTTTCCTGATTCTTACCCCTACTATCCCAAGTTCTCAAGAAATCACTTTGTATTTGTTGTGTGATTATATAAAATAAGTCCTGAATTTACTCATCTCTGAATATGTTATAGTCTTCTGATAGGATGTAAGCTCTTCGGGGTCAGGGATTTTTTTACTGCTGTCTTTAAGGCAGACTTGAATCCAATTTCCTGACTCTGAGACTGGCCGCCTATCTGCTGTACTGTGCTGCTCCTCACGTATCATATACTTGGCACATAGTAAGTGCTTAATCAATGCTTATTGATTGACTGGCTCTTATGTCACTTGGCGGATAGGAAAAGCAGTTGCTTATTCCTTAGAGGGAACAGTTTAGAATCCACCTTGGCCTTTTTGTGATTCTCCTTTCCTCTGCTCCTTTCTATCCTTTGCCTCTTCTACCTTCCCTCTTTTTTTTTTTCCCCAAAGAAATACTTCATTCATTCTGCCAACCTGGTTAGTGGCGAGGCAGTCTACAAACCCTTTGACCTTTTTTTCTAAGAAGGCAACCAGCCTGTCTTTAGTCACTGAGGGCAGAAATAGGAATTTGTATGTAGGTCTGGGAAAAGTTATCCCTGCTCCCTGTTCTTGGACGTAACACCACTCTGGCTGGTAGGCACGTCCCCCTGCCCCCCATCCGGACAGCTGTGGCAAACACTCAGGTATAAATAAGGAAGTCAATGCATTTCATAACATAGGTCTGAGATCATATCTGTGTCTAGTCGTTTGTCTTTAGCTAAAAAGGGTTTGAATGTGTTAGGCTTTGAGAAAGGCAAAGTAGCTTCAAGGTTTTGGTTTTGTTTTGATTTTTCACAGTCAGAATGTAAGCCTGGGCCACAATCCATTTTTCTGATAGCTTGTGACTAGATTGGGCCTATTGACTGTAGCCTGGCCACATTTCACATCAAAGGTTAATTCCAGTGGCACTCCTCCTAGAAAGATCTTGTCAAAGTTCTTACAGTTAATGCTATAAGAAGTCCCAAGCAGCCTTTGACAGAAGATGTGTAAAAGCTTGTCTGTATGAGTTTGACGAGATTATCTGAGATTCTATGATTCCTGTTCCGTTCTGATGTGGTATTCTGTTTAATGCTCTCATGTGCTAAAAGTACTTTATTTTTTCTATTTGCATCACTTTAAAGTTTGGACACAATCCTTGGAGCATGGATCACCTGGGATCTGTCCGAAGTGGAACGAGAGATCGCACCGACAAGCTTGCTGTCCCCCAGAAGAATGCCTATGCCCGGCTGGTCCAGCAGCACCGGGGGGGCCGCTTCCGCTCCTATTTGAATTATGTTGCTCAGAAGTTGCAGTTGGAGGAGATGGGCTTGACTGATGCTGGTTCGGATGCAGACTTGCCTTTGAGAAAGGGTATGATGCGAGAGATTGTGATGAGAAATGGCTTGAACACGCGTGGTCCTTCAGAAAACCCAGAACGTCTAGGCACGGAGACGCTGCCCGATGACGCTCCTGAAACCTTCAGGAAAGCCCCAGCTTTGCCTTGTCCAGAGGCACACCAGTTGGGTGCGGGGGAGCTGGAAGAGGCCTGTGGTGCCCAGCTTGGAGAGGGTGGCTCCCAGGTGGAGAGCCTGAACCGGGGTTTGAGCAGCTGGAGGTTAGCTCGAAGCCCAAAGCTAGGCCATGCTATCCACAGAGCTGGAGCCTCTCGAGAGAAGGACATGCCTGAGGCTGGACATAACAAACCGCAGAAAAGCAAATGTGCTGTGAATGTGGAAAGAGCGCGGGAAGTGTCTGCAGCAGGGCAGCAGCCGCCCTTGGACTCACGGTCATTGAATTCTGAGAAACCTGGGCCTCTTCCTTCTGATCAGCTGCCAGGTGAGCTCTTTTTTGTGGGGTTTGATACTCAGCCTCATTCCTGGGGCAGTGATGTTATTTGAGGTGATGGAGCTCTTCTTTGCACTAGATACATGTTGGACCCAAGTTATTTCTTGCCCATGAAGTCCTGAGAGGGCCCCCACACTGATTCTGGGGTAGCAATGCCTTTCACTGAATAACAGGGTGCCAGGCAGGGCCCAGTCCCTAAGGGAGGCCAATTGGGGAATTTGAATGATCGAATTTGGGACAGACAGGTTTCCCGGATTGGTAGCTGTTATAATCAGAAAATCAATTATTTTTTTGTCAGTTGGGTCAGTAAAATGAAATTCAATACTGTCATCCTCTTGGAAACATGGGACTTAAAATTATTGCTGAATCTCTGTACTTCTTCTCTGGAGCGTCTAGGTGGTAAAAGTCAGTCCTCTGTAGTCAAGTGAATACAAAGTGGGGTGACCCAGGGACCAGTTAATTATGGGCACCAGTCTCTGGTGGGAATGTAAAATTCCCTAGCTGTTAATTTTGTAAGCTTTGTGCTTTGGGCAGATGGCAAGGGAAGCAGGGAAGGAAGGGGAGAGTAGAAACGTATTTTAACAAGGATCTTTCTTAAAACACATTTCAAAGACTTCTCCACTCCAGAAGCAATGATATTATTTAAATGTTGACCATCTTATCTAAATGTTAGAAAGTAGACCTGTCATGCTGCATGCATTTCTATAAAAAAACAACACTCAATTATCCCCCTCTTTATTGACCAGGGAAGGTGCTAGTAGCAGGCTGGCCAACATGACACGGACCTTTCTGGTGCCCTTCTGGTGACTTACTGATGCTGCTGTAGACCTGGCCCAGCCGCCGCTGCTGCTTCAGTTACAGTTTTTCACTATGAACGACAATTCAATAAAAAATATATTTAAGAAGCAAAATAAGGAGTGAAATCATACAGAAAACAATAAATTCAGAATCATTGCTGGATAAAAGAAAACATAATAATAAAAAGTTAAAGCTATTGATAAATGGATGATAACATTTTAAAATTTGCAAAGAGCTTTACGTATATTATCTTTTTTGACCCTTGTGATGATACTGTGAAGTAGGTTCTATTATTATCCCTATTTTTCAGGTGAGGAAACTGAGCTGATTGAATTTCAGGTAAAAGGAGTCAGAGACAACATTGAGGTTTTGAATGTCTTAATACTCTGAGGTTTAATGACTGGCCCAGAAGTGTCAGAGGTAGGGTTCTAATTCATATCTTAATAACTCCAAGTTCAGTTTTCTCTCAGATAAGCAGGGATGTGGAACCTGTGACTTCGAGGCCACATGGGCTACACGTGAGGAGTGAGAGGGCCACAGGTGGCTTCAAGGCCGCAGGTTCCCCACCCCTCTCTGTGCTCTTGTGCTGTGTCTGTCTCTGCCTCTGTCTCTCTGTGTGTCTGCCTGCGTGTGTTTTAACAAAATTGGGTCTTGACTTGTTCTGTGTCCCTTTCTGATCTCTGTGTATTGATCAGATTTTATTGATGTTTTTATGTCTATGACAGTAAGTCAGCAGGTATACTCTGATTCTGTTTGCTTTTTTTCAAAAGAGTCTTTAAGTATTTATTTGTATTCTCATTGGCAATGTTTGAGAACACCTGACTATTCCTCTGGATTGGTGAGCTGTTTTGATTTGCATTTCTCTGCTGATCAGAGTCCTAGGGAATCCTGCTTCTGGCCTGTGTGGCCTGGGCTCGGGCAGGGCCTCCGGACTGCTCCTGCAGCCCCCAGGCTCTTGTTCCCTTTCTGATCCTGGGATGGGCGGGGGGATGCAGAGGCGAGGAGGCAGGAGCGTCTCCTGGGGAGCCTAGGCCTGAACCCAGCTCTTCACACGCCATCTTTTGTAGTCACTTCGTCTCCCTGGGTCTCAGCTTTCTCATCTATAAGATGAGGGGTCTCTGCGGTCCCTTCATCTCTAGGATCCTTTTATCCTACGCAGTGTCTGCCCTACGGCACAGGCCTGACCATAGCAGAAGATCCGTCATATCCTTCTAGTGGTCAAGGAGAACATTCAGGACTTTTCAGTTTGCCTTTTGGAGCCCTTGACTGTTTGCATTGCCTTGCCAAGCTTATTTTCCATTTCTTATTTCCCTTCATGCACTCTGGCTTCTAGTCACGCTGGCCTGGTGGCCATCCCCCAGACAGTACGTCCCATTTCCAGTCTTTTCGGCCTTTGCACAGCTGCCCCCAGGGGCCCGCCGTCTTTTCTCCTCTCTGGGTTTTCATATCCTTCCTTGGGCCTGATTCACCTGCTTGCTACCTGTCTGACCTCATCATCTGTTCTCCTGGCTGGGTCTTGGGCCCACTTCTCTCCTTCCTCTCTACTGTCTTTCTTGGTGACTGCATCAGCTCCCTGCACTTTTCCTATTGCCTCCATATAGA